CGGTCTGAATCATCAACTATAGCTTTCTCTAGGTCTGGAGATCCCACACTCTCTATTGCATTTACTTTGGTAGCCAACGCTGGTCTGAATTGATGGAAGGAAAGCCCCTTGAGAAGGATCTTATCGATTATCATGCTCATAAAGAAAAAGAGGGAACTGATCTCCATGCAGAGCAGGGTTTGATCTGGGTCATCGTCCGACAGTAGCGCCTTAACAACATTGTGAATATGAGATGAGAACCCTAAGAGGAAGAAAAGATAAATATTTTGAGATATAAAATATTTCTAAGTCAAATAACAACATGAAACTTACCAACGCCTGCAGAGCTTTCTTCAGCTGAACGCCCCGCACTCGATTCCGCCTGCCCAACCTCATGAACTGATGAAAGTACTATAGTGTAACAGTCGTTGACGCACCAACTTATTTAGTTGGTCTCACGTCTTGTTTAGTAAAGCTCGCACCCACGGTTGCGACAGTCACTACAGTCAGCTATTCTGAAGGGATGCAGAGTTGTGTCTCAGGAACCGATGACCGAGCCTCGATAATAGTCCCTGTTAAAAGCAAGAAATTGAGATCCTCAGGTTCATCAGACTTTCTGATAAGAGTAGTTGTATCAGTCTCAATGACTGGTCCTACGATTGGAATTCTCCTATGGTTAAATAAAAACTGACAAATGAATGATTGTAACACAGGAATAAAACTCATACATGTAGGAGAACCAGGTGTACTAATTAGCTCGGCGGCCTCACGTTGGACTTGTTCTAACAACATATCATCGAACAGCTTGTCATCAGAGTCCATAGGGGTTGGTGTCGGATCAAATAAGGGTGCACCCGACTCTCCGAGGGCCACACCACAGAAAGTGTTAATATTGGAACTGATCTAATCACACTAAAAACACTAGAGGGGGGTGAATAGTTGTTTGTGGAAAAATTTGCAGTAAAAGAAATGAAGAAAAATTGATTTGTATTCATTTAATCTCGGTTACAATTAGATTTCCTGATTACAAAAGAGAGGAGAATGAATTTGATTCTCCCCTTTGTTTAATTCTGGGTTCTTTACGGTGGCGATGGAGTGCCTCCCTCAAATGCTCGCGTCGAGTTTGCTCTCTGTTGACGATCCGCACGTCTTGATTCACTGGAATGGTATTTCCTCCTCACGATTTGACGCTATGGAGAACTTGCAAAGCAAGTTTTAGAACTCCTGATGAGTTGATTGATCTTAATCGTAATTGGTTAGACAAGCCAAGGATCCCCTCTTTGTTGCCCAAGAGTTGGATCCGAACTAAGCTGATTTCTTAGTTATTTATAGAGGATTAAGGGGTGTAACCGCCCTCCTTAATTCGCTCTTATGTGGAGCTAATGGGATATAACCGCCCCTTAAATCACTCCTGAGTGGAGTTGTGATCCCCTCAGATCATGGGAAATGGTTTTGAAACTGTTCAACTCGTGTTTGAACGAGTCAAACGCAAAATCCGTGTTCTGGCATGAATTCTGCGTTCAAACGCAGTGTCTGGATGCTCAGACGCAGCAATTTAGAAGCTGCGTTGGCAGCGTTGGAAGCTACTCGTGAGCTGCATTTGCAGCAATTTGGAAGCTGCGTTGGCAGCGTTGGAAGCTACGTTGGCAGCAATTTGGAAGCTGCGTTGGCAGCGTTAGAAGCTGCGTTGGCAGCAATTTGGAAGCTACGTTGGCAGTGTTGGAAGCTGTGTTGGCAGCGTTGGAAGTTGCATTGGCAGCGTTGGCAGCTGGATCTGAGCTACGTCCGTGGCTGTGAATGTGGTGCGTCTTGATGCTGGTATGCGGGGAGGACTTCCGCGTCTTAGTTTGAATAGACCGTCAATTTGTAGTCTCTTTCTGTCAGAGCGTTACAAAGATCGTCATTTTATAATCTTTGTAACTCCCGATGTTGATTGTGAAGACTGTTGATTATAGCTTTCATCAGTTGTTGTGAAGATCATCAGATTGTAACCTTCATCAATCTACGTGAAAGTCTTCAAATCGTAGTCTTCTAGAAGCCGTCGAATTGTAACTTCTATTATCGGTGTTTGATGGGGATCAGCTATTTGCAGTAATTTTTAGACAGCCTACAGAACCCCCTCCAAAGTTTTTGAAAGTTCACGGTTGACTGGGACGAATTTTCAAAATACTTTGGATCTCAACTCTGATCTTGGAGCTGTTGATTCCTTGTCATAAAGGAGTTGTTCTTTGCACCCGCTTCAAAGGCATCTTGGTTGAAGGGATTTTCCACGCATGACCTGTGTCTTCAAAGGCATCTTGGTTGAAGGGATTTTCCACGCATGACCTGTGTGATGATGAGCTTCAAATAGAAATTGTAGCAACGGTACAAGCTACTCATGAGCAGAAGCTATCAAACGTCACGTCATAGCTCACCTCCATTCAGCTGATGGGCCCGCAAACATTCATAGGATTTTTAGCAAACCCTCAGCCATCAACGGATTTGATAAGCCTTTACCGACTACCGTTTGAGTAGCACATGGATTGTCTAAGTCCGTTCCACATGTAACGTTGTGCTAAGAGAATGAACCCTTTTAGACTTGATACTATGATTTTGAATACATAGACTTTATCACTTTCACGGGAAAAGACTAACCGGTGACGCGTGTTAGGCGTAGGCTTATCTCTAATTAGGGATCGAGATAAAATCCCCCATGCATAAAAGGCATGGATTTTGATGCTACGATGTTGAATACGTAGACTTTGTTGTTATTTCTTTCTATGTTACTTGAAACACTGAAAGAAAGTTAGAAGCGCCAGAGGTGTAATATTAACTTGACATGAATTTTCACTTAGAGTGAAATTTAAAAATTTTCTTTATTATCACTAGGATAATTCCAGAAAATATTTAATCCGCTGGGGATTTTATAATGATAACTTGCTATTCTTGTTGAAAAAGGATTAACAAGTTTATTGGGGGGTTTGACTGTTAGAGGTGTGATGTTAACCTAACAGTATTTTATGGACCTATCGCTCTATTGAAAAGAGTCGATAAGTTGATTGGTAGTCAGAGGTGTGATGTTAACTTGACGGGTTTGTGGACCTATCGCTCTATTAAAGATAGTCGATAAGTTGATTGTCAAAGGTTTGATATTAACATGACGAAAATTTGTGTTGCGATTGGAGCAACTTTGTGGACTTATCATCCTATTGAAGAGGATTGATAAGTGAATTGTCAGAGGTTTGATATTAACATGACGAGAATTTATTACGATCGGAGCAACTTTGTGGGCTTATCATCCTATTGAAGAGGATTGATAAGTGAATTGTCAGAGGTTTGGTATTAACATGACGGGAATTTGTTACGATCGGAGCAACTTTGTGGACTTATCATCCTATTGACGAGGATTGATAAGTGGATTGTCAGAGGTATGATATTAACATGACGGGAATTTATTGCGATTGGAGCAACTTTGTGGACTTATCATTCTATTGAAGAGGATTGATAAGTGAATTGTCAGAGGTTTGATATTAACATGACGGGAATTTGTTGCGATCGGAGCAACTTTATGGACTTATCATCCTATTGACGATGATTGATAACTGGATTGTCAGAGGTATGATATTAACATGACGGGAATTTGTTGCGATCGGAGCAACTTTGTGGACTTATCATCCTATTGAAGATGATTGATAAGTGAATTGTCAGATGTTTGATATTAACATGATGGGAATTTGTTGCGATCGGAGCAACTTTGTGGACTTATCATCCTATTAACGAGGATTGATAAGTGGATTGTCAGAGGTATGATATTAACGTGATGGGAATTTGTATTGCGATTGGAGCAACTTTGTGAACTTATCATCCTATTGAAGATGATTGATAAGTGAATTGTCAGAGGTTTGATATTAACATGATGGGAATTTGTTGCGATCGGAGCAACTTTGTGGACTTATCATCCTATTAACGAGGATTGATAAGTGGATTGTCAGAGGTATGATATTAACGTGATGGGAATTTGTATTGCGATTGGAGCAACTTTGTGAACTTATCATCCTATTGAAGAGGATTGATAAGTGAATTGTCAGAGGTATGATGTTAACGTGACGGGAATTTGTTGCGATCGGAGCAACTTTGTGGACTTATCATCCTATTGAAGAGGATTGATAAGTAAATTGTCAGAGGTTTAGTGTTAACGTGACAGAATTTGTATTGCGATTGGAGCAACTTTGTGGACTTATCATCCTATTGACGAGGATTGATAAGTAGATTGTCAGAGGTATGATGTTAACATGACAAGAGAATGTGTATTTGTGACTTGCACAAGATTTTAGGAATTAGCGTCTCGCTGGGGAAACTTGCTAGGTGAGTTTATCATCAGGAACGATGAGTTCTGATATTTGTGATTTGAATAAGATTTTAAAGACTTAGTGTCTTGCTGGGGAAGATTGCGATTCGAGCAATTTCGAGGACCTATCATCCTATTGACAAGGATTGATAAGTTAATTGTCAGATGTGTATTGTTAACGTGACAAATTGGGAGTGATGCAAGCTACATTCATATTCTGTGGGGGTGATGATCGTCAGAAGTATAATATTAACTTGACGATGTAAAAGATTCGTTACTCTTAATCCATATAATATTAACTTGACGATGTAAAAGATTCGTTACTCTTAATCCAGTGGATTCCAAGTAACCAACCCCCGGTCTTGATTAAGACTTAGCAGGGGAATAAAAAGAGATAGACAATGCACATCACCTAGTGGGGTACTATCCATGAAGTCGGAATAGAGGCACATCACCTGATAGGCCATTATCTGATGAGTTTGACTATCAGAGGTAACTGTGATAGTTTTGTGAACCTGCCATCCTATTAAAAAAGATTGGCAAGTTGATAGACTATCAGAGATATCTGTTAACGTGATAGTTTTTGTGGACCCGCCATCCTACTTGAAGAGGATTGGCAAGCTGATGGACTATCAGAGGTAACTGTGATAGTTTTGTGGACCTACCATCCTATTGAAGAAGATTGACAAGTTGATGGACTATCAGAGGTAACTGTTAACGTGATAGTTTTTATGGACCCGTCATCCTATTGAAGAGGATTGGCAGGAGAATTTGGAAGGAATGGACTATCAGAGGTAATCATTAACGTGATGATTTTGGTAGACCCGCCATCCTATTGAAGAGGATCGGTGGGGGAATTTAGAGGAAATGGACTATCAGAGGTAATCATTAACGTGATAGTTTTGGTGGACCCACCATCCTATTGAAGAGAATTGGTGGGAGAATTTAGGAGAAAAGGACTATCAGAGGTGATCATTAACGTGATAGTTTTTTTTTTTGTAGACCCACCATCCTACTTGAAGAGGATTGGTAGGGGAATTTAGAGAAAATGGACCATCAGAGGTAAATGTTAACGTGATAGTTTTTGTGGATTTCGTGGTTGACAGAGGTATTCTATTGAACATGACAACTCAGAAAATTTATTACTCATAATCCAATGAACTAAAACCAACCCCCAGTCTTGAATAAGTGCAGAGGGAAAAAGGGTAGACATGACACATCGCCTAGTGGGTCACTATCTAACGA